AGGTGGCAGGCAACCCGACTGGCAGGCAGCCGAGGAGGAGGCCTGGCACGCAGTCTAGCACGTCGTCTAGCACGCAGCCCCGGGCATGTCTCGGGCGTGTCGTGGGCGTGTTCCGGGCGAGCATCGCGGGTGTCGCAGGAGGGCGAGCCGCGGAGGAGGCGAGTCGCGGAGGAGGGCGCCTGTCCCGCCAGCCCCATGTGATGCCGGCGAGGAGGAGCAGCCCCCTCTCCGGATCGAGGGCGCGCTCGGCGGAGTCGAGGACGGCGTACCTGTGTGGGACGTGTTGCGGACGCGTCACGGACATGTCCGGGAGTGCGCGCGGCCGCGGCCGAGGAGGCCGCGCATGTCCCGCTCGGACAGCAGGTCGAGCACGTACGTCGAGACGAAGCGGTCCACGCGCTGGGGCACGGCGGCCGCCTCCGGCTCGCCTCCGGTGAGCGCGACGGCGAAGCGGCGCCCGTGCGGCCGCATCGCCGCGCGCGCGAGCGCGACCATCTCCGGGCTCTGGTCGACGGCGCTCCAGCGGAGCGACGGGTGCTCGGCGAGCACGAGGTTGGCCAGCTTGGCCTGGCCGCAGCCGAACTCGACGCAGCTCTCCGCGTCGGCGAAGGCCGCCATCGAGAGGAGCGCCTCGACCGCCGGCCCGCCGTACCCGCCAGAGGCGTCGCGGCCGCCGATGTGGCCTCTCCGCGCAAAGCCGTCGTACACGCGCCGCGCCTCCGCCCGGGAGAGCGTGCGGCGGGCGTCGAGTGTGACCGCCGACGCGGGGCACGCTTGGGCGGCTGCGGCGAGGGCGAGGAGGGCGGAGCGAGCGGGCATCCGGCTCTAAGTCTCGCCAGGAGAGCGAGAGCGGCGTGCGGGCCCGCGAGCCTCAAAGAAGAAACCTTAGGCCAACGAATAACTTGGAGCGCAACCCATTATATACGGAAGTCGGAAGGAAAGCAAACATACCAGAGAACAAACACACACGCACACACGTCTGGGTAGAGCAGCAAGCGGGCCGGCCAAGGCCCAACCCCAAGCGCCGCTCTATCGACGAAGAGCACACAAATGCCACGATCCCCGGCGCACAGGGACAGACAGGCCACAGGCCGGCGGGAACAGTGAAAAAAGAAACGATGGTGGAGAGAGCTTCGATGGGCACACAGGGCGAGGGGAGTGGGGAAGGCCTTGAGAGAAGGGTGGTGTTTAGAAACACCGGGGGTTGGTTGAAGGCTAGCAGAGAGCTCACTCCTTCTTGGACTTCTTCGGCAGGAGCACCGAGTGGATGTTGGGGAGGACGCCGCCCTGCGCGACGGTCACGCCGCCGAGGAACTTGTTGAGCTCCTCGTCGTTGCGCACCGCGAGGGTGATGTGCCGGGGGATGATGCGCGACTTCTTGTTGTCGCGCGCGGCGTTGCCCGCGAGCTCGAGCACCTCGGCCGCCATGTACTCGAGGACGGCGGCCAGGTAGACCGGCGCT